TGTATTATTGGTGAAGATTGTGGTGAGAGAGAAATTGTAAGGAATAATTTATTGAAAAAGCTACAAGGTAAACATGCTTTTAATTTGTGATTAGTGTTACTTCATGTTAATTGGGTGATTATTGAAAAAATTATGAATTTTATAATATTGTATAATTGTGCAATATTATTATAAATTTGTTTGATTATTGTGGGAGGTGTTGGGAGACTTGCTATTATTATTGTATTTATGTGCCACGTGGTACACCCCTATTGGAGCTCAATAGGTGGCTTGTAAAGGCTCGGGCTAATCTACCTTTGGCTGGGTAATTTAGCACCGAGTAAGGGCTATGGCTCGAGGTTAATGGAGGGCTATAAGGATGGTTGTTTATGTATATTGTAATATTTCTTATATTTTATTGGAATTGTATTATTTTTAATTCTCACTTAATAAGCACACACTTAACTGTTTGTATACACTATCATAAATTGGCTTTGGTTGTTGGGACTTTTGAGTCTCATTATGTGGTTAACAATTTTAAGGAGAAGAGCCACGAGTGACACATGGAGGAGTCCCAGAGGCTTAGTGGTTTAGATCCACTGTCTCTTTTGGATATTTGATTTATGATTTATAATGTGTTATATTGTCAATATTAAAGCTTTTTGTTTATTGACAATTATATGAATATATAAGTGTAATCATGTCTTTCAAACTATTTTTATTTTTGGTATACTTTGGATGACTGTAATTTTAATATTTGATTTATTTTGGATTGGTTAAAATGGCATGATTATGAGGCCAAATAATTGGCTTGTGTTGAAAATTGACTAAATTATTTATTTTACTTGTTGGGAGTATAAGGATGGAAAAATGTGATTTAGTTTACTTGTTGAGAGTATAAGGATGGACAAATGTGATTTAGCCTAATGGCATGTGAGAGGTAAAAATTTATCTGAAATGTTATATTGTGTGAGTTGAAGCCAATTATAAAATATTTTATATTAAAATTATTATATAAAAATATATTAGGTGGCTGTAACTTAACTATGATTGAGTTAAATTATTTAAAAAAAAATTTTAACGTGTTACACATAGTGATGAGCATCGAGCACAACATGCGGCTCCCACCAAAACTCCCTTTCTTCCTATTTCCTGTATCTCTCTTCCACCAACAGTGACCACAGGGCCATATCTCTCTCCCACCTCATCCACCCACAGCATTCTTCTTCTTCTTCTTCTTCTTCCTCCCGACTGTTCCTTTCTCCTCTGCTCACAGTCCCCACCATTGCTCCTCCTGTCAATTTCACCATTCATCTCACTGATGCATTATGACCCAAAAAAAGTGCAGGCAAATTTCTCAGCCACCTATGCTAGTTATGGAAAGTTGTCCTTTGTGGGGTGCAAAAACTTCTTGTCCTTAATTGCTACTTTTCTTTTTTTTTAACCTGGGTCCTTAATTAGTTTGCGAATCTTCAAGACTGAACATAGTTCTAACCCTATTCATTTTTTTTTTTGGGGTAGAATTTCTTACTTGAAAGTAATTTTCATATTTTTAAAGAATAATGATGATTATGAAAGAAAACTAAAAACTCTTGAAAATTACATATAAAAATCGTGACAATCCATCATTTGATGCTGCTAAAGTTTCACCCTATGTTACTTTTGAGTCAAAATCAACTCTATCGAGAACATTCCACAAACCTTTTTTGTTTTTTAAGGTCCATACATGCTTTTATTTTGTCCATGAACAAGTCTATGTTCGCACGTACTTACATACAAATTTATTTAGACTTACCCGTGATCAATATAAACTAACTTAAACTTAGACTAAGAGGTGTTTAATATAATTTAACTAATTTTTTTAATTTTAAATTATAACTAGTTGTTGAAATTTTTTCATTTAAAGTTGATAAACAGAAAATGTTGCGTCAATAAAAAAGTTAAGGATACAAATTATTTTCAAGGACAAAATTTTAGGAATAAAATTGCCCTTTTAACATTTAATATACTCTCTCATTAAAAAATATAAGATATTTTTAATTAAATTTTAATTCCTTAATAAAATAATTACCTACTTTTTAATTAAATTTATCTTTTCATAATCGCTTCAATTAAACACCCTATAATAAATATAAAGTTATTATAAATAGAAGTATTTAAAAAAATAATAATTATATTTTAAAAAATTAAAAATATTTTATATTTTTTAATATTTAATTTTTAAAAAAATATTTTATATCTTTAACAATGATTAGTGTCAGCAAACATTATTGATGACATTTGAAATTGGGAGAGAGAGAACTATTAGAATAGTTTAGAAGAACATAAAAAAAAAAAAAAGGTCTTCTAGACCCTACATTTTTTGTTGTTGTCATATGACTAGATACTTTACAATATTGCAAGAAAGATAATATAAGATTAAAATAACTATAGAGACAATGTAAAAAGAACAGTAAAAATACTGTAGAAAGAACAATAATTCAATGCAGTCCACAAAAATAAAGGCTCTCTCACGCGCGCTCCCTAGCTCACTCCTTTCTTATAATTGATTTACTTCTCCCTAATTTTAAGTTTCATTATAAAATTGGAGGTGTAATTAACATACCTTCTACAGTACTTCCTCTAAATAAATTATCAAAAAATTATTTATTTTATTTAATAAAAATACACTTTCTAATAATACCAATTGATTGAAGATAAAAACAAAAAAGACAAAACAATTTCATACACATAAACTATCAGTCTAATCCCTTCATTGATAAATATAAAATATTTTTAATTAAATCTTATTCTCAATAAAGTAGTTATTTATTTTTAAATTAACTCTATTTTTTTATATTTATTTCTATTAAACACCTTATAATAAATATAAAGTCACTATCAATGGGGACACTTTGAAAAAAAGACAATGATAATATCTCAAAAGACTAAAAATGCCTTATATTTTTGAATATTAAACTTTTCAAAAAATGCTTTACATTTTTAATAGAGGGGGTATCTCTTTAACGTATATATTTAAAAAAATTGAGACCAACAAAAAAAAAAAATATTTTTAAAAAATATTTTAATTAAAATTAATAATATCTAAATCTTATCCAAGCAATAGTTGTACTCTCTCTACTCCCTTTTATAATTTATTTCTAGTATTTTTATTAAAACCAATGAAAATTTTAAATTTTACTAACTTTATTTAAACATTTAGCAAATTTTTAACTTTATTTCTATTAAATATATCTATTTTAAAATAAAATACTTTATCATTTAATAAACTTTTCAATATTTAATAGAAAAAAAATGATAAAAATAAAAATAATTATCATTAGAGTATTCTAACCAAAACAAATATCCTTTTATTTTATAAATAGAATTAAAAAAATAAATAGTATATAAATTAAAAAAAATAGACTTACACTTAAGAATAAAGATGACAAGAAATTTTTAAAAAGTGTAATGAAAACAGATTCAAGAGCGCATTTAGTACTCACCAGGGGTGATGAGCAGCATCACTCTTGAATCAATCTAAACAATTTAAATTTAATGTAGATAGTTCAAATTTAATTACTTTTTTAATTTTTTAAAATAAAAATTTATAAAATTTTAAATAAATATATTTTATTATTAACATGTATTATTCATATTTAATTAGATCAATCTAAATTTAATATTATTTTTTAATTTTTATAAATTGACGATACAGATTTATTCTAAATTGTTTTGAATCTGATAATATAATAAATTAAAAATTTTAAATCTAAACAATATAGACTAAATCTGTGTGATCAATTTATAAAAAATTAATATTAAATTTGAATGTATCTAATTAAATATAGATGGTATATGTTAATATATATTTATTTAAAATTTTATAAATTTTTATTTTAAAAGTTGAAAATTTAAAAAGATAATTAAATTTAAATTGTTTAAATTAAATATGAACGATCTAAATTGATTCAGAAGTGATGAGCATTTTATCACTGTTGATGAGCACTGAATGTGTTCTTCTAAACTAGAAGATTCTAAAAGTATCTTATAATTAAAAAAAGCCAGTCGAAATCCCTTCCCACACCTCCGCCCCCTTTCTCCCCAGTCTCTAGCGATTCTGAGGCCAACGTTCTGGTGAGTCAAAACACACAAACTAACCATGCCTTTTTGGATTTTCATTTCTTGACTCGCTATTCTCATAATTTATGGGAGATTCCTTTTTTTTTTTGGTGTTTATCAGTGAAACCAGTCTGTTCGGTTAGCAAGAAACAGTGGGGCAGACAAGAAAGTGTAAGTGAAGGTACGCTCTCGGGAATCATATTGTTTAATCTGTATAGTTTTGAACGCGATTTCACAAAGGCAAATCTGTCTTGGTTCGAGTAGCCCAAAAAAGAAAGAATATCGTTTGGGAATTCAAGGTTGTAACCCCAAGTCCAGTATGTTTAATATCTCGATCTCTTTCTATTCTATTGTTGAGCTCTGTTTTCTAAATACTTGGGAGTATTGTGTTGAAGCAGCTGGATATTGGAGTATTTCTCTCATTTCTTCCCTTATTTTCTAATCACAAGAAGGCAAAGTTTCTAAGAGAGGGATTGCTTTCTTTCTTTGTTTATTTTCCTGTCTTTTTTTCATTTTTGAAGGACCTTTCACGTGCTCTGTTTTGTATCACTTGCTGTAATATTGTTCATATTATGACTGATTGAACGTTTATTTATTTATTTTTTGGAGCCCTTGATATTCTCACGTAATATATATTTTACTTCATATTTATCATCTTCCTTTTTAGAGCACCTGAAAATTGAACTCTTTCTTTTAAATTCTTTCGTCTATGATTTGAAAAAGGCGAAGTCCCTGTTTGGTAGACAAAAATTTTTTCTAGAAAAGAGTTGCTTTCTTCTTTCTTTGTTTTTTTTGGACCATTTCTTTCACATGCTCTGTTTGTTGTTCATAGTGTGGTTAGTTGAGCATTTACTATCTTCTCCTTATCTCATTTGTGCAGGCTTTGATGTTAATATATATATTTTTTAATATACTACATATTTAACATCTTCCTCTTTGCATTTTGAAACAACCCGCTCCAAATTTTACATGCAGTATAAAATGGACACTAATTAAATCTGTTACAATTCTCTCTACAAATTTTAGGAAAGGAAGCTTCATGAGTTACTGCACAATGAGAACTTGAATTTTTTATCCCCTCTTCCAGTAAAAACCTTGTTTGGCTTCAAGTGTATTTCTGAGAAATAGTATCAGTCTGTCTCCGCTAATCGCTCCTCTATCAAAGCTCAGCTAGAGAAGATGGAGTTAGTCCTATCAGGGTTCATTTTTCAAGAGAAAATGTGGACTGATGAAGACCTTAAAGGCAAGAGTTACATAAACATTCCTCTTTTTGATCACCATCATGATAGTCACAACGAAAGACCAAGTCCCACTGTTCAACGCAATACCTTCAGCTTCCTTCCTGAAGATGTTATTGTCTTGTCTTCATGCAATGGTCTAATCTGTTGTCGCAGTTGTGGCTTCTTGACTTCCCCTACAACAACCACCCTTTATATCTGCAACCCCACAAACAGGCAATGGATTTCTCTGGATTGTCCTCATTATAACAGATTTGATGGTTTTGCGTTTGCTTTTGACCCTCATAAAGACCCCATAGACATATCCACCAAATTCAACTTGGTAAGAGTCAAGCAAGATTTGATTGATGCATATGAGATGCAAGATCAAGAGATTGTTGAAGATGAAGATGGGAGAGGTGTACATAATATACAGTACTGTACTTATTTTGAAATATACTCATCAGAAACTAAATCATGGAAAAAATCAGACAAGACGTGCATTTATAACCATGAGGTATTGGAGAATGTCCCAGGTATTTACATTAAGGGTGTCTTACATTGGCAGGCTGATAATGGTCCCATTCTCACTTTTGACCTTGAGAAGGAGTCATGTTTGGTAATTCCACCACCCACTTCATTCTCAGGATTCAGAGTCACATGTATTGGGGAATGGGAAGGGATTTTTCACTATGTTATGATATCAAAACAGGGCATTTATGTGTGGTATCTTGAAGATTACATTAAAACTAAATGGAAACTGAAGGTTTTGAAATCCTTGGGAGATATTGGAAGCAAGAATCCCAAGTTCAATGGCAAATTGAAGAAACACATTTTGCAAGGAGCAGATTCAGGTGGGAACTTATGGGTGGGTCTTTCAAGCTTCAAGGATGGGGTGCTGTTGGTGAATTTGGATGATGTTTTCTACCTTTACAATATTGAGAAAAACATGGTAATTGAAGTTTGTAGTCATGGAGATCTCAGTCCTAAGCGTTTTCCTTGTTTAGTACTTCCACATTGTATAAGCTTGGTGCCTGTGAGATGATTCATCAGTAGTTTTTTCTTTTATAAATAAATGTATCAAATATTCAAATATATCAGAGTTACCTACCTTATTAGATGTTATCAATAGAATCAAATGTTCCTAGGGAAAAAGAATGTGACTCACCTCACTTATAGCTTTGGTGATATTTTATTTCAAAAGATTCTAAATATATGTCTAAATTTTGCAAAAACCAAATAATAATATTGTAATATTTTCATCCTATGAGTACAGAAAAAATGATTCATGTAAAAATGTATTTGCATCTACTTGTAACCTTTTCCTTACAATGTTTATGAGATCTGCTCATGAAATATAGTAACCATTCTCATCAAGAAAAAACAAGAGAACTTCGTTCCCTGTTTATCAAAGTTGGGAACTCTTGAAGCTTTTTTTTTTTGGGGGTAATAACTCTTGAAGCTTTTAAAAGAACAGCTTAGGTTATTATTTGGGCTGCTTATAGCAATCTCTCTCTCTCTCTCTCTCTCTCTCTCTCTCTCTGAGAAACCAACTATGAACTTATTTTAATTTAATAAATGAAGGTTAAAATCTAAAGTACAGTGTGTTGTGTTATAAGTAAAAAACAATCAGATGGTAAAATCTATAAAGAAGTTAATTAAGTCTTGTGTTGACGTTCCATCCTTGTTCTTACTTTAAATTGCCGATCTCTGCAAATTTAAATTTTTTAGAAAAAATAAAAAATTAACGACAGTAATTATTATCATACAAATATAGGAGTGAGTTAAAATTATATAAAAAACATACCCCATAATCCATCCGTTCAAAAATGTAAGACATTTTTTAAGGAATTGGATGTTAAAAAATATAAGAAACTTTTAGTCTTTCGAAATATAATTATTATTTTTATTTTTAAAAAATATTCATATTGATAATGACATTATATTTATTAAAACGTGTTTACTAGAGATAAATATAAAAAGATAGAATTAGTTGAAAATTAGGTAACTACTTTATTAGAGGGTAAAATTCAATTAAAAATGATTTAAATTTTTGAATGGAGGGAGTATCTACTAAGCTATACCATAAATTAATAGGGGACAAAATCTTCCCATAGAATTTCCTATCGCTCTTAGACAAAAATGATGCATGTGTTTAGTATTTTGTTAAATGACCAAAATAAAGAAAAATCAACTGTGGTTTTGACTAAAACCAACGAATTAACTCCACATGCCATAACGACTTGACAAGGTTCTTTTGATGGTATGGAAAAAGTGAAGACGTGTTTGTTTTGAAATAACACTCCGTCATCCATTCCATTCAAAATATAGAAATTAGTTGAGAGGCTTTTTTTGGTTTCAAAATTTATACTCCTATTGATTGCACATATCAGGGTGTCCTTAAACAAATATTTTCTCTAAATCACAATATAAATCACTTTCTAGAACCACATCTTGTTTTAAAATATAGGATATTTGATAAATTTTATTTTTTTTTCATTTATACCCTTATTTTTTTAATTCCTCATCCATAAATGCTACATATTTAAATATCACATGAATGTGTTACTAGGAAAATTCAAGGGTATAAATGTAAAAATATGAACATTTTTAGTAAAATAAGATTTCAATTAATATTTTTTGTAAAACATAAATTAGTCATCAATGACACTGAGTAACTTCCAATGTAAATAAACAATAAATTCAATGCATTTATTTAGTTTAGCGTTGGAACAGTAAAACAGACTCTACAGAAGGACATGATAAGGAAATAGACTCAACATTAATAGTTTCACTTCACCTAACATAATAATCTCAACATTTTAAGCTTTACCAAATGTAGCAAATTGTAGCCAGGTAAGGTGGTGATATGGATAGAAAAACACGACTTAACAATTCAAATTCTATAAACAAATTTCCTATGTGGCTACTGTGTGGTAGATAAATTACCAACTTCAGCAAATATTTCTGAATTCCTACAAGGATCTATGCAATAATTTTACCTCAATAATACAACTTAGGCAAACTCGTACTAGAATTTTCATAAATAAATAGTGTCAAGACTCTTATAAATGAAGTGAGGTTTATAAATTCAAAAGGCTTTTCCACCCAATAAACTAATCTTTTAGGATGAACTCTATTTTTAGACTTGTACTGGTGACAAGTAGCAAGAGAAAGAGGAGGAGAAGTTCCAGCCATTATTTCAAACTCAAAAAGTTAAAATACTGCTTAATAAGACAACCACCATGATTGACTGAAACATGAATGCAAAAATAAGTATATGTTCCTACCTATATTAATATTTTTCTTCTTTTTTCAATCTACTTATAGACAGCAAAAGCTTCAATCACTATTAAAACTCACTCTAGAGCATAAGAACAGCCAACTGAATTAACAACTAACCACAGATCACACAATCCAAAAAACACAGCTCTGTATTCACCCAATTCCCCCGGTCACATTACCCTCTCAAGTTCTCAGATCCAGTTTCACTATCATTATTCTTTTTCATTCGTTCTTGTGAACCAAATAGGCCCTTACTGATTTGAGATTTAGCAAATGTGAAAAGGGTACGTGATTCTTTATCTCATAATTTTTCTTGTCAGCCAAACAAAAACTTTGCCCTTGTGAGGTTTAAGCAAGTGGGAAAGGAAATGAAAGAAATAATTCACCATTAAGCTGCTCTAATATAATGCTCCTTCACTTTTTCACTCTCTCTTGTGAACCAAACAGACCTTTATATATATATATATATATATATATGTAAATCATGAAAGCTTTGAGGAATGGACACAATTCACAAGACCTCACACAAAAAAGCATTCAAGGGGAGACAAAGAAATGGAAAACCAAAATCAGGGAAGCCAGAAGAAAATGCTATTTAGAAGACCAAGGTCATTGAGGAATATTGACAGAGATAGAAATTTAAAATACACTACAAAAGCTTATGCACATATGTTACATTACAATATCTCAAATATGAAAAAAAAAATGGGAAAGTAAATTAAAACAATGAAAGAATTCACTCTTCATAAGCTCTCCCTTCCCTCAACGCTTTCAAAAAAAATTTGAAAGGGTACTATAGTTCAGCTGAAGGAAAAATTCGGTAGCCTTGGCATTCTTGTTAAGTCAAAATGGTAATACATGATAGATAATCACAACAGCTAAGCTTAAAAGTTGAGTATCTAAAGAAAAATGCAGAGCTGAGCTTTGATTGTTCATTTACCACAAAATCTAGAAGGAAGTTGAGCCAACTTAGACATGATAGTGCAATTCAATGAGCAAACTGAAATCAGACAACACAGCAAAGATTGTAGATGCAAGCATTATCCGAAATGGAAAAAAGAAAGGCGGCTTCTGGTTCAAAAGATAGATTATAATGATGGATTAAATCAAACATAGAGACAATATTCAGACCTAAAACTTTCGTAACAATAAGAACATCGAAGCACATGCCACGAAATCCGTCATATCCTAATCAAAGAAGTCATCGGAAAAGAGAATCAAAAGATTCCAAATTTCAACACTCACCGCGGAAGGTAAGAACTTCATATTGCTTCATTTGGCAGAGGTTTCCTAAGGCGTTTTGGCCACGATAGAGAGAGCATGCAATCCAAATTGAAGCTCATCGGAGGAAGTCGTAGACCATACGGTGCCGTTTCACAAGACTCTGGCCATCGAACTTGCGTGAGACGACCTTCAGGTTGAAATGGGTCTCTTCCCCGCAGGTTCCTTTTATGGCAGCGTGACCCGCATGCTGGTGCGACACTTCTTCTACCTCCAGAACCGTGGTTTCCAGTGCTGATTGTAACTTCGTTTTTATCCTATTGGACCCTTGATAGCACCATGTTCGCTCCCCTAGAAGCCATCACCTTTATGGAGAGAAGTCGAAAAGAGAAGAGAAGAATAAAAAATCATCGCGTATTTCGCACCCATTTTGCAAGGATAAAGAACAAAAACGAAGAGATGGGGAAATAAAGGTTACAGAGAGAGGGTGAGTCGGATTTGTGAAAATTAAAGCGAAAATCGAACGGTTGGGGAATGAAATCTACAAAAGGGGCAATTTAGATTCAGTTAGATCATGAAATTTAGAATAGGAAAAATAAAAATTTAAAATGCAGTGAAATAACTGTTAACATTTGTAGCATAATAAATGTTATTTAAAAATTAGCAAGACACCCTTATATTACAATATGAAAGTGATTTTTATACTGTAACGCGTGGAAGTGGCTTAGAAACTTAGGTTATTATATATACACACACACACACACATACATACACATATATAATCTTATACAAGTAAATGGGCTTGTTGGGTTGTTGACCATAATCTGTTTTTATAATAACTTAAAATAATATTTGATGAAATTCAACTAAACTGATTAATAATTCTGTAGGTTTAGAATTTTATTGCCCTTTAGGGCTATTTGGAAATGACCAAGATTTAAAGCCACATATATTGGAGAATCAGAGGGGATTTTTCACTGTGTTATGATAACAAAAGAAGGCATTCAGGTGTGATATCTTGAAGATTACATTGAAGCTAGATGGAAATAGAAGGTTTTGGAATTTGTGGAAGATATTTGATTTAGGAATTCCAAGTTCAATGGCAAAAAGAAAAGACATGTTTCGTAATAAGTAGATTCACGTGTGGACCTTTTAAGCTTTAAAGATGGGGTGGTGTTAGTGAATCTGGATAATGATGTCCACTTTTACAATTTTGAGAAAAACATGGAGGTTGAAGCTTTCAGTCATCGGGACCTAAGTCCTTAGCGTTTTTCTGGTTTCATTCTTTTACATTCCAAGAGCTAGGTGCCTTTGAGATGATTCATTGGTGGTTCTTTCTTTCTCTTTTTACACACAAATTTTGTGCTTTTAGTTTAGACTATTCTGTTTCAAAAGCCTGTCAATATATGTCAAGATTTTGCAAAATCAAGCAATAATGTTGCTATATTTTCAATGTATGAGAATAGTGCAAAACTAACAAAGGTTGGTTCAATTGATAAGAATGTGATTCGATTCACCTATAGCTTTGGAGACATGGTGTGCTTCTGGTAGGCTATGCAAGTTCGAGTAGACTCAAGAGGATGTAAGAATTTTCACATAAAACAAAATTAGGCCTACTAATTAATACATAATAAATATGGTTGAGGGTCATTGATGGCCGAAAATCGTAACAAATATGGTTGGTAGTTGAGGGTTATTAATGGCTAAAAATAGTAATAAATATGGTTGTTGGATTTGTGTTGAAGTCATTAATGGTAATTTAATGATTCATTTATAATAATGTGAGTTATTGAGACTTAGTAAACCCAATGATTTTGATGAGAAGTGGAGATTGTACTATCGTATGAGTTGAAGGATGAGTGGTGTTGGAAATTATTCAAATTAGAATATTAATTGTTACCTTTATGAATTAATTGTAGATTAATTATTGTGGCACCATTCAAGTTATTCGGAAAGTTTTGGAAGTAGTGTCTTGAGGAAAAACTTTTGACCTCTCAAAGGTTTGAGGTAATTGAAAAAAAATCTAGTTTGTATAGTTGTTTATTAATTAGTTATTTGTAAATTTAATAGTTTGGAACTTGCTTGGTGTTTTGAGTACCTATTGATACAAATTCAGCACTGTTTGAAGATATATTGAATTGTTTATGTGTGATTTATAATGATGATTGAGAATATGTTATTATGTGATATTGGAATGTGGAGTAGAGTGGAGAAAGAGAATAATATGAACAAGTTATAATGTGATTAATGTATATTGCATGGCATTCAACATGTTATAGTCGCATAGCATGATCATTGACGAGAGTTTCGCCTAGAAAAAAAAGTAGATTGGTAAATCTATTTGGTAATGAAGGCTTACTGTTAAAATTGAAAGCTTGCCTAGCACCAACCAATGTAATCGAGAGGTAACCATTACTCCATAATTAATTTGGGACTGTTTTACTTATTTTTCAAAGAACTCAAACCTAACTAGTCTCCACTAGTTTATAAGGCGGCTAGATTAGGGATACGACACCCCATGATTGTTAGTATTGAAAAAAACTACTATACACTAGTGAGTCAGTTAATTTGGGCCTGATAGCTCCTCACAACTGAAAGATTGGGTTGGTTCCAGTTATGAATGTAGCCATTGATAGTCATTGATTTTATGTCAGAGGTAACAAGAGAGTATAAAGTTGGTATTGATCATGTACGTTATTTTCGACCACATGGGTGTTATTCTTGTGGTTCGACATTTTAATCAAGGGGTGCATGGTTATTATTTTTGCTACCCTATGATATGTGTAACTGAGATATGTTTGATGATATACATTGTATGTTCCGTTATATAGTTGTTATTTTTGTGGCCGAGACTATATTTTGATATATGTGTATAGAATGATTTCCATGTGTCATTTGCATCCATAATTAATTGATATACATCTATATAGGCTAGGTTGACTTTAGTTATTGAGTTGTTGTATTTACCCCCTCATTATTCAATATTTCAAGGCTTAGTTTATCGGATTAGGATCGAAAAAAACAACCGGCGACATAAGATCTTAAGTAAATTCTAATTGTAGGCCTCTTAATTTTAATTATGTGTACTTAACATTATTACTTTGCCAACTAGAATTTCATTCCATTTTTTTGACTACTTGCATTATAGTTGAGAAAATCATGTGTATTTTGTCCCCTGAGCTATTGATATATGGTTGTAAAGTTTAAATAGGATCGAAATACTAGTATAAGTAAAGTACATTTAGATTGTTTTGGATGAATATTAATGATTTTATGTAAGTTATCTTCCCCTTCTTTTTTTGTGAATCAAGGGGTTGAGTGATGAGTTTGTGTAATATGTGTGTTGGAATAGCTGTGATGTGCTCCACAAGTCTAAAATAATCCATTAAGTGTGGTTTAAGAGTTAGTGTAGGCTTTTAGCACATGTATTGGAGCTTGAGCACCCTGATTGTGAGATTTTTGTGAAAAGGAGTGAGGATTATAAAGGGTGTCCAACTTTTTGTAGAAAAAAATGATTTGATTGTAAAACTTGTGCCATTAATTAGAGTTAAAAGGAAGCTCTCTGCAAACACTTAGATCACCTTAATTGGACATCTGATAGAGAAATGAGACATGTTGGAAGTTCATCTCAGGTACTATCTTATGATAGCAAAGTTTGCTATCAAAATTCATGCAATGTGCCGTGGCACACCCGTAGCAAGCCGCGACGCATGTGTTGCTTTTTGTATAGTTCACTATATTGAAGTTTATATACAAATGTTTTGATTCTTTCTTGATTCTCATGCTTGTGCATTTGTTTTAAACTTTAATTTGTAAATGTTGAAAGTGTATGTGAGTATTTTAAATATTGAAAACTTGGGATTTCATTTATATAATATGACAAATTTGATAATTACATTAATGTTTGGAGATTAAGGAGGATTAATAAAAGTAACCTTATTTGTCTAACTTGGCGATTTTACAAGTTGCTTCTTGTTCCTAACAAATGGTATTATAGCTAGGTTTTACCCAAAATTTGGAAGCCCGTTATTAACACACATTTGAAGTCCAAAATTAAACTATCCTTAATTGTAACAGGGACTTGTGTACATTATATTGGTGGCCTGATATTCATCCTATCTCACTTTTGATGACATCCTTACTTTTGAACTTGAGAAGGAGTCATCTTTGAAAATTCAACTAACAACTTCATTACTAGGATTCAACATCACATGTATTGGAGCATGGGAATTGATTCATCACTATGTTATTCAACTAACAACTTCATTACTAGGATTCAACATCACATGTATTGGAGTATGGGAATTGATTCATCACTATGTTATGATAACAAAAAGGGGCCGCCAGGTGTGGTATCTTGAAGATTACATTAAAGCTAATTGAAAATGGAAGGTTTTGAAATACTTAGAATATATTGGATTTAGGAATTGGAAGTTCAATGGCAAATTGAAGAGACACATTTTGCAAGGAATAGATTCAAGTGTAAACCTTTTAAGTGTCAAAGATGGGGTACTATTGGTGAATTTAGATGATGATGTCTACTTTTACAATATAGAGAAAAGCATGGAGGTTGATTGGGACCTGAGTCTTGAGTGTTTTCCTTGTTTCATTATTCCACATTCCACAAGCTTGTGTCTTTAAGATGATTTATTAGTGGTTCTTTCTTTCCATTTTTACAAATAGATATATCAAACATTCAAATACATTAGAGTTATGTAACATGTTAGATATTATCAATAGAATTGGAATATCACATGTCTCTAAGAAGAAAAAAATGTGATTCTTTTTATTTACAATGTTGACGACATTTTGTATTTTTCATTTAGACTATTTTATTTCAAAAGCCTCTCAATATATGTCAAGATTTTGAAAAAAAAAACAATAATGTTTAATATTTTCAATATATGAGAATAGTATAAAACCAACAAAGGTTGGTTCAGTTGATAAGAATATGACTCACTTCTCCTATAACTTTGATGACATTATATGCTTCTGTTGGATTGTGCAAGTGTGGGTGGACTTAAGATGATATAGGAAGTTCCATATTGAATAAAGTTAGATTACTAACTAATATATAATTAAAAGAAAGAACTCATAAATTTGAGTCTTGAGTTTTTGAGTTAGATGTGGCATCTTCCCTTGAATTAGATGTGGCGTTTTCCCTACTCTTGCTCGTTTCTCCTCTCCTCCTTTTTCCTAGCAACCACTCACCATTTCTAACAAGCGATATCAAAGTTAGGTGACAGTTGCTACTCATTCTAACAAGTGGTATCAAAGCTATGTTTCTCCTAGGATATAGAAGCCCTTATTACGCCCACATTTAAGGTCTAAAATGGAACTGACTTTGACTACAGCAGGGATTTTTGTGTGTTACATTGGCAGCATGATATTTGCTAGTAATTCCACCAACAATTTCATTACTAAGATTTAGAGTCACATGTATTGAAGAATGTGAGGGGATTCTTCACTATGTTATGATAACAAAAGACAATCTATAAGTGTGATATATTGAAGATTACACTGAAGCTAAATGGAAACGAAAGGTTTTGAAGTCTTCAGAAGATATTGGATGTAGGATTTCCACGTTCAATGCCAAATTAAAGAGACACATTTTGCAAGGTGTACATTCAGGTATGAATCTTTTAAGCTTAAAAGTTGGGATGTTGTTGGTGAATTTCGTTGATGATGTTTACTTTTACAATATTGAAAAAAAAAAACAAAGGTTGAAGCTTGTAGTCATTGAGACTTGAGTCTGGAGCATTTTCCTCATTTTCGTTCTTCCATATTCCACAAGCTTAGTGGCTTTTAGATGATTCATGGGTGGTTCTTTCTTTCTCTTTTTACAAATAGATGTATCAAATATTCAAATTATCCATTGGTGCCTTAGAGCGAATGTAGTGGATAAGAAAGAAAACTTCTATGGTGAACTTTTTCTAAGATGTATGGGAGTGTCTAGAGATATCAAAAAGTGTTGATTGATTGATGCAAGAATGAAGTTGACAAAAAACATGTTGGAGGACAAAAAATTCTACTAGTCCTTGAATATTGATATAGGCCAACTTGAATATTCGTAACAAGTAATATTGGAGTGAGCTTTGCCTGAAGCATGGAAGTTTATTATTCCACACATGTTTGAAGCTCGAAATAAGATAAGTCTTGGCTGTAGCAAGAATTTATATGCGCTATACTATTTCAAGCCATTAAAATTAGGCTAGCCATGATTGGAAGTATTTTACCATTTCTCTTTTTCCCTATTTTCAAGTGGTTGCTCCCCATTCCTAATAGTTTTTGTTTGGGACTATTTTGTTTGAAAAGCCTCTCAAATGTAAGGATTTTACCAAAGTTAGCCAATAATAGTATATTATTTTCATTGTATGATAATAGTACAGAAGAATTGATTCATGCAAATAAAAATGTGTTTGCATCTATCTATTTATGACCCAATCATCTCTATGAGTAAGTGTTAGTTACAGTCAAGAGAAGGATAAAGAAGAAATAATCAGTGTAGGACAAACTCACTTTTTAAAAGTGAAAAAAATAAAATAAAATTATGTGACAAAAAAAATACCTCAAATTATATAGAAGTTAATTGTGGGCAAAAATGTATAAATATGATGTAAAAACTACATGAATAGAATATAAAAAATTGTAAATTAAGTGGCAACTTGATCCTTACAATATCTAAAAGATCAGCTAATGAAATATAATGACAATTTTCATCGTGAACATATAAGAAAACGTGGATGTTCCACTTATAAAGAGTTATGAACTCTTGAAGTTGTTTAGAAAAGAAACTTAGCTTCGATCATGTGCTTATTTGAGCTGTTTATCGGGACCTACTGTTGAAGGGAAACCAACAATCAACTTACTTTCTTTGCCGTTAAAAAAGGGAGGGTGAATTCACCCAAAAAAAATCTAAAATGATTAATTAATTTAAATTAGATTTTAAGTGTTAAATTTTAAAAATTTGTAACTCAATTTTTTAATTTTACAATTACGTTGTGATAAATTTATAATTTATTTTTTAAATTTTAAAATGGTTGAAGAAGAAAAAATTATTTTTTTATTAAAATTTAAAATACAAGTTGCAAATTCACCACAAAAGGATTGCAAAATTAAAAAATTGAGTTATAAATTATTGAAATTTGATACTTTTGACTTAACTTGAATTAAATTGATCTTTTTAAAACCTCTCTATCATTCTCCAAAAAAAAACCCCCCGCCAACTTACTTTAATTAAGTTATTTTAATAAATTAAGGTTAAAATCTAAGCTAAAATTAATTGTGTATTATAATTTATAACACAAAAACAACAATAAGATTGTAAAATATATAAAGAAAGAAATTGATTTACTAATTTATTCTTCTAATAACGTTCATATTTTTTCTTCAAATTGACGATATAACAGCCCTCCTTGTGTATTACTCTTTCTATTAAAAAATATAAGACATTTTTAATAAAATCTCATTATCTAATAAAATAATTATTTATCTTCAAATTAACACTATCTTTTCATATTTACTTCCATTTAATAGGGTGTTTCATTCTAAAATAAATATAAAGTGATTTATTCATTATACACTTAAAAAAAAAACTTATTAAATTTAAGTATGGATATTTAATATGGATAGTTAATAGATTCAAAGCTAAAAATTTATTAAATTTTAAAATAAAATTAATGAGTTTTAAAAATTTTCTTGATACTGGTGAAACATATTTGAAGAAACTTATAAATAGGATCAAAAAAGTAACGATTACATCTTGAAACACTAAAAATACTTTATATTTTTCACAATCAAACTGTTCATTCCTTTTTCTTACTTCAAATTGACAATAATGAGAAATTTAATCTTTTTAGGAAAAATAAATAATTATTGACAATAACTATTACTATATGAGCGTGTGTTCAAATTATATTTAAAAAAAAAACACATATCTACTAAGTTATACCAGAACTTAACGGGGAGAAATTCTTCCTATAGAATTTCGTATTATTCTTAGACAAAAATTATGCATGGGTTTTATATTTTATTTGTTTTGGTCAATTTGACCAAAATAACATGAGACCAATTGTCGTTTGACTTATTTTTGATGGTATAAAAAAAAAAAAACCTAGTTGACATGTTTGTTTTTAAAATAATACTCCATTCAATTCTAAATATAAGAACTAGTTAAGAGATTTGATTTGATTCTAAACATAACACCTCAAAATATTTTTTCTCCAAAAATTATAACTTCTTGTCAAACATCCCCTATAGATTGCACATCAAGGGGATTTAGAATGGAGGAAATATTCATTAATTAATTCCATACAATAAGTTCAATGCATTTATTTCGTTTACAATTGAAAGTTTGGAACAATAGAGTATCCTCTACCAGAAGGAAGAAATCAGCCATAAGCCATTCACCTGAAATTATATAGTAAAGAAATAGATTCAACACTAATAGTTTCACTTTGCATAATCTCAACATTTTAAGCTTTACACATAATTTCATTTATAAAGAAAATGCCCAAGCCAAAAAATCAAATCAAAACAAAACAAAACAGTAGCCAGGGAAAAACAAAACTTAGTAGGATTTGAAACCATTAAGATAATGTTTGGATCAGTAAATTTGGATTTAAATTTAAGAGAACGATAGTTAGATTTCAAAATATTAAATCACTAACACTTAATTCCTTAACAAAATTTTATATAAAATAAATTATAAATGTCAATTCAAATAATTATAAATAAAATTTTTTGTTACAATCTAAAATTATATTTAATACTTAAATATTTATTTGCAATTGAAATTTTTAAATTTGTAATTATTTAAATCAATATCTTCAACTAATTTTTTCAAAAAAAAAATCATCATGAACTTGACTATAATTGATTTAATATTCTGAGACCTAACTGTCATTTTTCCTTTGAATTTTAAATTTAAAATTTTGCATTTCAAATCTAAATTCATGTATTTAAAATATTTTATTTGAATAACTTAAAAAAATTCAAATAAAGAAGAAAGATGAGTTGAGCTTCAAAATGAAAATGAAAAATTAAAAATGATGAGTTTACTTATATTCTCAATCAACGAGATACAATAAAAGATAAGAGAAAAATAGTCAAAACACAAAGGGAATGAATAGCTTGAAGTAACTAAAATTTTAAATGACTACTGACTAGTGTATAAAGAGAATTTAAAGTTATAAATGAAATATAATAAGAGATAATCAAATCCAAAGCCATAAGATTCTGTGTATACGAGCGAGGGATTTCTATCTCCAAACACATCATAAAATATATGGGGCAGCACCTTTTCATTACGATTAGCAAATTCGCTCAACTGAACAAACACAAGCAATCAATTTTGTGTAAATCCACATTCTATAAACAATTTTTGTTACGTGGCAACATTATGGAAGATAAAATACCAACTTCAGCAAACATTCCCTTATTCCAACCAGAATATATACGGAATAATTTCCCGTCAATAATACAACTTTGGTAAACTACACTCTTTGGTGGTGGCTCTTGTTAAGCAACTCGTACAAGTATTCTCAGAAATGAGCAGCAGATGGAGAAGCAGAAGAAGTTCCAGCCATTATTTCAAACTCAACAAGTCAAAATACTGCTTAATCAGTCAACCACCATGACTGACTGAAACATAAATGCAAAATACTGCTAAATAAATCTCTGTTCCTACCTATATTAATATTTTCTTCTTTTCTCAATCTACTTATGGACAGCCAAAGCTTCAATCACTATTAAAACCCACTCCAAAGCATAAGAACAGCCAACTGAACTAAAAACTAACCACAGATCGCACAAACCCAAGACACAGATCCATATTCACCCAATGCCCCCGTCACATTACCCCCTCAATCTTATCAATTTGAGATTCAGCAAATGTGAAAAGGGCAAGTGAATCTTTATCTTATAACTTTTCTTGTCAACCAAACAAAAACTTTTCCCTTTTGAGGTTCAAGCAACTAAGCAAGTGAGAAAGGTAATGAAGGAAATAATTCACTATTAAGCTGCTCTAATACAATGTTCCTTCAATTTTTCACTCTCTCTTGTGAACCAACCAAACCAAACAGACCTTTACATATTTTTAAATCATGAAAGCTTGGAGGAATGATCAAAACTCACAAGAGCTCACATAAAAAGCTTTCAAGGGGAGACAAAGAAATGGAAAACCAAAATCATGGAAGCTGGACGAAAATGCTGTTTAGAAAAACGGGTCATCGAGAAATATTGACAGAGACACAAATTTAAATTTAAAATACAACACAAAAGCTGAAGCACAAATGTTACATTACAATATCTCAGATATAAATAAAAATGGGAAAGTAAATTGTAAAATGAAAGAATTCACCCCTCATAGGTACTCCCTTCCCTCAATTCTTTCAAAAAAGATTTGATAGGGTGCCACACTGCCATATCAAACATCAATTGAAGGAAGAATTCGGTAGTTTGGGCATTCTTGTTTAAGTCAAAATGGTAACTGGATACATGATGGATAACCACAACAGCTAAGTTTAAGAGTTCCGTATAAAGAAAAAAGTAGAGCTGAGCTAACCTTTGATTGCTCATTTACCACAAAATCCAAAAGGAAGTTGAGCCAACTTAGACAAGATAGTCCATTTCAATGAGCAAATTGAAATCAGACAACACGGCAAAACGGCAAAAAGAAAGGCGGCTTCTTGTTCAAAAGACTTCAACATTTCCTTCTACTCTGAACAATGCTTCCCAAAATATTATAATGATACATTAAATCTAACACAGAGACAGTACTTAGGCCTAAAACTTTCGTAACAATAAGAACATCGAAGAAAATGCCACAAGATTGGTCATATCCTAATCAAAGAAGTCATGGAAAAAGAGAATTAGAAGATTCTAAATTTTAACACACACTTTGGAGAGTAAGAACTCATACTCGCTTCATTTGGCAGAGGTTTCCTGAGGTGTCTTGGCCACGATAGAGAGGGCGTGCAATCCAGATTGAAGCTCATCGGCGAGCAAGTCGTAGACCATACGATGCCGTTTCACGAGACTCTGGCCATCGAATTTGGGAGAGACGATCTTCAGGTTGAAATGGGTTTCTTCCCCAGAGGTTCCTTTCATGGCAGCGTGACCCGCGTGCTGGTACGACACGTCTTCTACCTCCAAAACCGTGGCTTCCAGCGCTGACTGTAACTTCGTCTTTATCCTATTGGCCCTCGATAGCACCATGTTCGCACCCCTAGAAGCCATCACCTTTATGGAGAGAAGTCGAAAAGAGAATAGGAGAATAAAAAATCAACGCATATTTCGCACAAATTTGCAAGGACAAAAGTGCAAAATCCAACAGAGATTGGAGAATGAAGATTAGAGAGGGAGGGTGAATCGGAAAAATCGAACAGCTGGGGAATGTAATCTGAGAAAGGGGCAATTTAGATTCGGCTAGATCAAGCAATCTAAAATTGGAGAAACAAAAGCGTGAATCGAACGCGCTACCTTCAGATCCTCATTTTGATACTTTACCAACTAAGACGTCCCCCGACGTCTAAATTTGCACTTCTAAGATTTTTTATCTTAAAGCTTGTTCCGCAAAATGCATTACCATTACTTTTCAAATTTGAATTTGAATATAAATCACATTTATTATTTAGATAATTAAAAATATATAAATTTAATTTTTACCCAAATTTAAATTCAATTATTACTTCAATATTTTTATAATTTTAAATCTTTTTAAACTTTTATTATTTTAAATTTCTATAGAAACCTTTCTTTTTTTTTGTTTGATTGTCAACTTTGCTACCTTCTCAACTTTAACACCCCACCTCCAATAGATTTTCATTGAGATTGAGCTGTCGAAATTGACTAGGATTGGATGGCCAACTTTGATAAGAACAAGATCGTCAATGTTGATCAAGACTTGATTGCCGATGGTGATAGGGATCGAATGGCAGGTGACAACTGGAATTAAAATGCCAGCGTCGACCAGGATGTAACAATTAACGATACCAAGGACCAAACTATGGATACCTATCGAGATTGGACTGCTAAAGTCAACTAGGATTAGATCATCGAAGTCAATTAGCACCGACCCACATGTAATGATTAGGACCAAAATGTTGGCGTCGATCAAACAGGATAGCTAGTGTTGATTAGGACCTAACAGCCAACTTCAACCAGGACTGGACCTCAGCATTGATCTTGGTTTAGGAATTTCAAATATCAATTTACTTTCAACCACCCTCCTTTTGACACCTAACGCCAGTTTGCTGCTATCGCTGCCATTCGATGCTAGTCTAGTGTTGTCATTTAGTGTCGATCCACTACCATTATGTGGTGATAGTTTGTCGCACCTAACCGATGCCGATCCGCCACTGTCGTCATTGTTCAAGACCTATTTGTGATTGTGATCACCATCTTTGATTCATTCGCTTTTTTCATATGATGCTAAATGTTGTGGTTAACAAGGAATGTTTTAATGTCATTATCTAGGTCCAATCTACAGCCTTCAGGCTACTATAATCATCCTGTGCCAATTTGTAGGCTTTGATTAGGATCAGACTACCAGTGCCAACTAGGATCAAACTATCATTGCCTATCGAGACTGGATCACTGTCATCGTTTGGATTTGGATAGCCAAAGTTGACCAAGACTAGGGTGCCATTGGGCCACTGACATCATCTAGGCTTGGACAGTCAGAGTTGACTAAGACTAAGGCATCGTTAGTCTTGATTTGAATTGAACTGCTAACTTTGAATAGGATCAGAACACAAAAGTCATCTAGTTGTCTTTAAATTAAAATATAAAATTTAAATTTTTATTTAAAAGCTAAACACATGATTTTAATATTATAATTTAAAATTTTTATATTATGCAAAAAAAAATTTATAATTTATGAATTTCAAATTCAAATTCTCAATTAAAATTCATTCATTCAAATACAACCTAAATGTAATTTTGTGATAATCAATTTTTTTTTGCCCTCATCCATTATTTAATTAAATATGTAAAAAAAATGGATCGTGATTTAAAGGTAGAGTATAAATTTTACTTTCGTTTGTTTAAAAACACATTTTTTGCCTTTTTTTTTCCAGCACAACTTTTGAACTATTATTTAAGAGAGTATCTTAGTTTTGTACCTAAAATTGCTTTGTCAAATATCAATTCAATATTTATGTAAATTCCCCAAGGAAAGATATTTATAGAAAACGGTTCTTATCAAGCAGTTTGGACATTTTCATTACTCCTATTAGCCTTCACATTTTTACACCTCAGATCAAATTAAGATATTCATAAACACTAGAAAAATTATTTCTACCCTTTCTCTTACTCCTGGAAGAAAATTCTTATTAATAGATTATAAGGGTGGGTTTCCCATACAATACTCTTTTCTTTTTTCTTTTTTTAACCTGAAATGCAATAGTAGTTATTCATAATAAAGGTTAATCATATGGTACTTAGTTTATCTTAAATACAAGTTACATGAGTGAAGGACTAATTTTTATCTTCATGTTTTTTAATAATTTTCAAATATCACGCAAAGCTTGACAGTTTTTTTCGGGACAAAAAGCTTGACCGGTTTTTATTGCAGAGATTATATTCATTACAAACTCTTTTCAATCTCATCATCATTTCTTTCAAGCAATGACTGAAGAAAACATTTTGACATTAAAATAATAAATTGTTTTGATAAAGGCTTAATCATTATTTTAATATTTTTATGAAATAAAAAATTTAATTTTATAATAATGTAAAATAATATTTGAGGAAATTCAACTAAAATGATTAATAAATTCAATCAGGGCATCTTAAATTCTTAATTAACCATATATATATAATCCTAGCCCTAAAATGAAATTAAAATTCTGATATTTTTCCTCACAGTCACGCCACTGCTACAGTCCACTAATACACTGTACGTACTGGCCGAAAACAAAAATTCACAGCACGTCGATCTGGATTCTACAGTCCACGTTGTTATTCCACACTCACTGTCCTCCCACTAACGCTCTGCGATTCGGATCGTAGTGACAGTGTTGTGGCGAGCCGAAGGTAACAAACTATGAAACTAACAACGCCTTTTGGATTTCTCGTTCTTTGCTTTATTTTTTTCACCTTACTTTGAACGCTATCTCTTCCAATGAGCTGATGAGCATTAATTCTTCATCGTTGATTTTATGGTGTTTATATATGCAAAAATCAGTCAGTTTGCTTCGCAGGAAAATGTGAGTAAAAGTGAATTCATGTAATGTAAGTCTCAGTCTGTGTGATTTTTTTTTTTTTAAGTACTTTTGAGCGGAATCTCAGGAAGGCAAGGAGGCAACAAAAACAGCAGGTTCGATCACTCTCTATCCCTTTCACCTTGGTCATCAATATTTTCTGATGTGTCCGAACTTTTGGTGACCCCTGTTTGTGAATATCTCTCATATTGCTGTGTTTTGGTTTTCCGTTTCTTTGCCTTTTCTTCAAATTCTTTTAGCGCAAGCTCTTGTAATTCTTCCTTTAAGTTTTTATGCTCTTCAAATCGATACAGTTCTGTCTGGTTTGTGTGAAGAGTTACAGGTATTAGAGCAGCTAAATGGTGAACTATTTCTTTTATATTTCTTTTCTCATTTGGCTGACGCGAAAGGTTATAAGAGAAAGAATCGCTTGCGTTTTTCTCTTTTAATTTACTAAATCTCTAATCGATATCCGTTTGGTTCGCCAGAAAGAGTGAAAAAAAAAAAGGAATAATAGTAGCATTATTTTGATTCTCTGTTTCCTTGCATCGGGTCTGTACAATGGAGGAATTGGTAAATACGGAGCTGTTTTTCCGGTTTGTGTGATCTGTGATTAGTTGTTCGTAGGCCTATTAAAAACTAAATAGAAGTAAAACCAAAATATAGGTAAGAACAGAGATGTATTTTTGCATTGATGCTTCATAGATCCTTGATGGAATTAGGAAATGTTTGCCGTAACATTACGTAAATAAAAATTGTTCTTACAAATTGAATTTAAGCAAATTTATTGATGCAACTCAGTGGTGAAAGGAAGTTGGATCCTTATATCTTGTTCTTTCTAGTTTTTCCTATTATAAAGTCCTCTCCTTTTTCTGATTTTAGTAATCCTTTTTCTTTGATAATCTAGGCAACGAGATATGTAAAATGAATTTGAATTGAACCAGCTTCAATTTTCTTTGCTGTTGTAGGAAATGAAGAAGCTTCATGGATTATTGGACATTGACAGCCTCTTTGATGTTTTATCTCGTATTCCAGTAAAGAACTTGCTTGGTTTCAAGTGCATTTCGGAGGAATGGCGCAACATTATCTCTAATAATCGTTTCTTCATCAAAGTTCATCTGGAAAAGACTGAGCCAATCTTATCAGGCTTTATTTTTCAAGAGAAGTTCATGTGGAGCAATGAAGACATCAAAAGTATCAGTTATATGAACATTCCGTCTCTTGATGATAATCAGAACACAATATCAAAATCCATAATTCACCGCAAAATCTTCAGTTTCCTTCCTGAAGATGTTGTTGTGTTGTCTTCGTGCAATGGTCTAGTCTGCTGTCGCAGTTGCTGTTTCTTGTCTTCTCTCACAAAGACGACTCTTTATATTTGCAACCCCACAAACAGAGAATGGATTTCTTTGGATTGGCTTGATTATAACAAACATGACAGCATAGTATTGACTTTTGACCCGTATAAAGACCCCATAGACATCTCTACCAAGTTCAACCTTGTAAGGGTGAGGCAGGTTGAGGTTGAGCACAAGAATGAGAACGAAGAAGATGAAGATGATGGAGAAGAATTATCACACTACTTCACATTTGAGCTATACTCATCAGAAACAAAATCATGGAAGAAATCAAATGAGATATGCCATTGCAACGATGGTTCAATCAAGAAACAAGGAATTTATATTGGGAATGTCTTACATTGGCTCACTGATGCGGATCATATTCTCACTTTTGATCCAGAGAAAGAATTATCCCTTGTAATTTCAACGCCAATCCCATCCAGAGAATTCAAAGCCATACCTGAAGCTTGTATTGGAGAATGCAGAGGGATTCTATGTTATGTCATGATAACAGAAAGTGGTCTTTATGTGTGGAATCTTGCAGATTACTATGAGGCTAAATGGGAACTCAAGTTTTGGAAATCATTGGAAGATATTGAAATGGAGAATTCCAAGTTCTTCTGCAATTTGCAGAACCATGTTTTGCGAAGAGCAGATTTGAACCAGAACCCATGGATGGATCCTCTGAGCTTCAAGGACGGAGTTTTGTTGATGAAGGTGTGCGTGAGAGTCTACTTTTATGACATTGAGAAGAATTTGATGGTAGAAGCTTGCAATCTTCAAGACCTGAGTGCTAATTCCTTGCCTTGTCCCACTGTGCTACCTTATTCCATGAGTTTGGTGCCTTTGTAAACCAAGCAAAGGAATGTTTCTTTTGCCTCTTACAGCATTCATTGTCGTTCTTATTATAAATCTGATCGTCTTCTTTTTC